CCTGAGAAGCCGAGTACAGGATCCAGTTTCAGCCCACTAACATGCACAGAGCACCTCCAACAGGGAGCCCAGAATGGAGTCTCAGCCTGGGTTTCTTCTGCACTGGTCACTCTATAAGGCCCCAGTCCTGGTCAAGGTGGGAGGAACACTGTCAACAGTGACATAGAAGATTTAACAAAAGCGTCAGGCTGAGCCCAGGCCTATGGGACCGGATCCCCAAAGCACACATCAGCTCTTGCTGCCCAGTTTGCACAGGGTGGCTTCCGGCCTTCATGATCCACCACCTGGGCCTGCATTAGCTGCTTCATGGGTCTCCCTTCTCTGGTCTTGCCCCTGCCCTGCAGTTCCTCATTCTTACTGCTACCATGTGTATATTTCTAAAGAAGGTCAGATCTGAACATTCACTTGCTGAGAACTTTCCATAATGTTCCATTGTTTATCAAGTGAAGACCAAATTTCCCAGCAAGGCCTCAAGATGCGGCGTTTCCCCACAAGACCACATTCAGACCTCATCAGCCTTCCCCTGCTCTCTGAAATGCCCTTGGCCCCTACCTCTCTGAATCCATGAACTTGGTTTCCTCATCTGGAATGCTGGCACCCAGAGCAGCCTCTGCAGTCCCCACGGTCAAAAGAACCTGCACTTGGTTTAATGTTCTGATGTTGCCATTTGGAAATCCTTAATAATTTTTGTAAAAGTGTTGCATTTTTGTCATGTGTTAAATAAGCAGTCCTCCTCATAACTGAGCCCTCCTCCCCTGAGAGAACCTAAATCTTTGCTCCAGGAGCCTCTGTGAACCATCTCCTCACCCACCCAGGCATTTATGAAACATTTTTCCATGTCCAGACAGACCCATTTGTTCTCGTATTATCAATGTCTTGTATTATCAATGCCAGTGCTTAGTATATCATTGGCCTTTAAAAACGATGTATTAATTAAACAAATAAATAATTTTTGCCCTGCCTAGCTTAAGGGAGCGCAAATGACTCTAAAAGTACTTTAAAGCTTTTAAAATATTCACTCAGAGATTTTAAAATATTCATCCTCTCAATGGAATGCTTTAATATAAACTATAAGCATAAATATCAACCAATTCTTATTTAACTAGGATATAGATATGAGTAAGATTTAAAAGAATAAGATAATTGAAAAATAATTAGGTCCATTGCTCAGTGAACTAGCTTTTTTCTATCACCAATTATTTGAAACCTTGTTACCCTTTTGCTTAAGTAGAGATAATTCACGCTGATTTTCCCAGGTTCAGATTAAGCCCTACTATACCTATTTGTAGCTCAGAAACTTGAAGGCATTTTGGCATCAAAAACAATTCTGAGGGTGTAGCTTTCTTCAGCTGCCCCCCAGTCCTCATGGTTCACTCTGGGCCATTTACTCTGCCAAGGTGAGGGTTAGGATCATGCGAGGAGCGGCGTGTAGCCAGCCACCTAGCCAGCCTTCCTCAGCAGTGGTAGGGCCCTGCCCAGGGCAGTGGTAAGAACTAACAAAGTAGTGGTGCCATACCACGGGGCAGCAGAGGGAAGAAAAGGTGATGCAATGATGAGAATGTCATAAAAGGGCAAACTGGGAGGGTGTCCTGGAAATGTGCTGTGTTTGACTGAATAGTGTTTTTTAAAAAACTGAGCCAACATTAAAAATCAAGTGATTTTGCAGAAAAATTATGTTCAGTTTCTTTAAAAAAGAAAGTCTGATCTGACAGCACACCTGGGCCCAGAGAAGCAGAGTCTTGGGATGGGAATGTGCTGGTCGGTTTGCAGAGCCTCAGGGCTCCTCCTCAGCTCAGTGCCTGCCTGTTACCACTGATGGTCATCCTTGTGTTCCCCAGAGAGAAATATTTCTCAGTGCCAACATGCTCAAAAGAGGGGAATTACAGAGAGAACAGTGCTGTGACCCCGGATTTAAATGCCAAGAATACTCTGGCAGGTGAAATGTTTGCCACCAGGGGTTCTGAGATGCTGGTTTTCCTGCCAGCTAGTATAGATCTGTTTGACTAGGGTCTTGTTTTAGAATAAAGTCTAAAAACACAAAAACCAAACAAAACTTTCTCTGTAAGCTCCCTTAGCATCCATCCTACAGCCAGGGTGAGAGTATAGAAACCCCATGAAATTTTGAAACAGATATAAAGTAGTTCTCCAGAAATGGTTGTTTAATTGACCAGTAACGGAGGATGTGATGATCTTATCTTTTTCCTCAGTTAGAGATTGTTATACAAGCACTGTTTTTAGAATACCTGATAACCTATCAATAAATACTCTGCTGGAAGTTTTTTGTGGGGAAGTAAGCCTTAAAAAATGATTGACTAGGGGCTGGCCCAGTGGCGTGAGCGGTTAAGTGCATGCGCTCCGCTGCGGTGGCCCAGGGTTTGCCAGTTCGGATCCCAGGCGCGCACCGATGCACTGCTTGGCAAGCCATGCTGTGGCGGCGTCCCATATAAAGTGGAGGAAGATGGGCACAGATGTTAGCCCAGGGCCAGTCTTCCTCAGCAGAAAAAGAGGAGGATTGGTAGATGTTAGCACAGGGCTGATCTCCTCACAAAAAAAATAAATAAATAAATAATTTTTAAAAAACGATTGACTAAAACATGACATTCTAGTTAGTCCTACTTCGTCTATGGAACACTTTGGCTATGGCACAAAGGAGCAGCTTCTTTTCCTTCTTCTTCACGTTGAATCCCAAATTCTGGGGCTTATCCAAAAATACAACATTTCAGTGAAAATTAGACTTTTGTACTCCTTTTAAACTCTTGATCGTTAGAAAGAAAGTTGCAGTGGAACCTAGGCAAATAATCAAAGGAATGGAATTTCACTGTCAAACTGACTGCATGTGCTCGTGCTGTGGTGTGGCTTTAAAGAAGTGTTCTGAGTTTTGAGTAAAGATCAAAATTCTTATCCAGACTTGATCACCAGGGAGCAGAGTGAACTTTGGAGGGTTTCTTCTCCCTCTCTGAGAAAGCATATAATAAATAGATTCAAAGACAAAATGGGGAGATTTCATCTACACAAGGAACTCTTGCTTATTACCTTAGTGGAATATGCTGATGACCGTTCTAATCTGGGTCTTCAGTTCTTCACTGGAGATTTGTACTCCTGGAAGATGTGAGTCTGAAAGCCAGTTGGTCTTAGCAGCCCAGTACTCTCTTTTTTTTTTAAATAGCTCTTTTTTTTTTTTGTGAGGAAGACCTGCCCTGAGCTAACATCTATTGCCAATCATCCTCCTTTTGTTCCCCAAAGCCCCAGTAGATAGTTGTATGTTATAGTTGCACATCCTTCTAGTTTGCTGTATGTGGGACGCTGCCTCAGCATGGCCTGACAAGTGGTGTGTCGGTGCGTGCCTAGGACCTGAACCCAGGCCACCAGTACCAGAGCGCGCGCACTTTAAGTGCTACGCCACGGGGCCAGCCCCAGCCCAGTACTCTCTAATGGGAAGATTTAAAAAAAAAAAAAAACACAAAATTGTGTTCTTTTTTGACCCAACAATTTTTCTTAGTGAGTAAACTGGTGACATGTACAAGTAGCCTAAAATTCTGATTAGTAAAGAGATCTAGAGAAGAATTCTGCTCAGTTAATAACAAACAAACAAAAAGCAGTTATCCATTTGGCTTCTGCCCAGACCAATGGCTCTTTCTAGAAAATACATGATTGTACTTGGTAGATTTTAATTCCAACACGCCTCATCCTGGAGCTTCAAGCTCCCTGTGCTTTAGTCCTAGGCCATCTTAAATCCATGCAAGCAGCACACCTTCACACTCCTTCCTCTCCAGACTGCTTTTCACTTCCCAATACAGGTCTTGTGAACCCTGGAGGACGCCTAGGCACACAGAAGAATTTTTACCACCAAACTATGATAAGTCATTTGTTGAATGAAGTAAGAAAACTTAACCATTCGAAATCGATACCCTGGATGGCAGCATCTTCTACAACAGAATTTCCCAGCACCATTGTCAGGAACTGTATATGGAGCCATAAGGACCTCAGGGCTGAGTCAGTGGGGCTTTCCTGTCTGTCATTAAAGGGCAGCTGGATTTTTGTTTGCATGCTTTTAAAGTGTACGTATGCATTTCTGTCCTACTTTCCTCACCCAATATAATTATTTTGAGGTTCATATCTGTTGCATGTATCATTCTTTGCTCACTTCTATTGCCATATAGCATCCCATAGTACAGCTACATCAAAATTTGTTTATCCGTTCATGTGCTGATGGACATTTTGTTGTTTCCAGTTTTAGGCCTTTACAAATAAAGTTGTTATGAACACCTGTGTGTAAACCTTTGTATGAACCTAAGTTTTCTTTTCACTTGGGTAAATATCTCAGAGGAAAGGGCTCCATCATATAGTGGAAAAGGTATGTTAACTTTTAAGAAACTGCAAACTGTTTTCCAAAGTGATTGTACCATTTCACATTTCTACCAGCAGCATATGAGAGTTTTACTTCCTCCACATCCATGCTGAAACTTGGTGTAGACAGTCTTTTTAATTTTAGGCATTCTTACATGTATAGTGATACGTCATGGTGGTTTTAATTTGCATTTACTTAATGACTAATGATGTTAACATTTTTTTCAATAAGTTTGTCATTTATGTATGTTCTTTAGTGCAATGTATACTCAAATTTTTGCCTATGTTTAATTGAGTTTTTTTTGGAGTTTTGAGAGTTCTTTATATATTCTGGATATAACACCTTTTTCAGATATATGATTTGCAAATATTTTCTCTCAATCTGTGCCTTCTCTTTGTATACTCCAAACAGTGTCTGTCGAAGAGCAGAAGTTTTTAATTTTGATGAAGTCTAACATATCAAATTTTTATATGGTTCACACTATTTGATTCATATCTAAGAAATCTCTGCCTAACTCAAAGCCACAAGGACTTCTCTTCTAGAAGATTGATAAGTTTTAGGTTTTTCATTTAGGCTTATGACCACTTTGAGTTATTTTTCATATGTGATTCAAAGTGTAGACCATAGGTATTTATGTACAGGAAAACACATGACATATAGAGGATCTGGTACTATCTGTGGTTTCAGGCATCCACTGGGGGCCTTGGAATGTATCCCCAGTGGATAAGGGGGGCACTGTACTGTAAGTGATTTTGTTTTCCAATTTCAATGTTTGAAACTTAGTTGCTCTTATACAGAAAGAAGTTGGCATTTTTTTTTCTTTTTTGGTATCAGTAGTAGATACTTTAGGCTTTGTGGGCCACGTGTAATTGTTTTTAACTTTTAAAATGTAAAAACAAAAAATTTTATGGACGTCCTTCATGGAAATAGGTCTGAAAATTAATAAATCTGATGGTTTAATTGCAAATAAAACTGTAAAAAAAATTCTTAGCTCACAGGCTGGACAAAAACAGGCTGTGGGCCAGATTTGGCACATGGGCTGTAGTTTGCTGACTCTTAGAGTATAATTGATTTTTGTCCATTGATCTTATATCCTGCGTACTTTCTACACTTGCTTATTAGTTCTTGTAGGGGTTTGTTTGTTTGTTTCTTTGTTTCTTTGTTTTTGGTAGATATTGACAGACTCTGTCCTTGACTAAACTTTCCTCAGGCTACTTCAAGTCCTCTAGGCCTCAGCCTTGGTGTCTGTACTTGTCAGGCCTGCATTGCCAGTTTTAGCAAGAATCTTGCTAAATCAGTTTAGAGAGAACCCTTCACCCTCCAGGTCTGATTCCTCATCCCTCGTGTGATATCTGATCACCCTGGCCTGCCTTCAGCCAGAGTCCTGTCAGATTGGTTCAGTCAGACTCTCCTTTACCCTTGATGTTTCCTCTTAGTAAAACCATCCATTTACTGACCCCTACCCTGATCCTTGGCTATAAATCCCCACTCGTCTATGCTGTATTCAGATTTAAGCCCAGTTCTATACGAGGTCTCATTTTTCTATTGCAATAGTTCCTGAGTAAAATCTGCTCTGGTTGCTTTAACTTCTGTCCAGTGATGGTTTTAACAATATCATCAAATTTTCTACATAGAACATCATGCTATCTGCAAACAGAGAAAGGTTTATTTTTTAATTCCAACTGGGCATGCTTTATTTCTTTTTCTTGCCTGATTGCACTATACAGTGTTGAAAAAAATGATGAAAATGAACATCTGTATCTTGTTCCTGATCTTGAATCTTGGAGGAAACACATTCTTTCTTTTTCCACTTAGCATAATACTAACTGCAGGTTTTTCATAGACGCTCTTATTCAGGTTGAGGAAGTTCGATTCTATTCCAAGTTTGTTAAGAATTTTCATCAGAAATGAATGTTGTATTTTTTCAAATGTTTTTTCTACTATTTCTTTTTTAGTATACAGGCATAGCTTGGAGATATTGTGGGTTCGGTTCCAGACCACCACGATAAAGTGAATGCCACAATAAAACGAGTCACACAAAGTTTTTGGTTTCCCAATGCATATAAAAGACACATTTATGCTATACTGTAGTCTCTTAACTGTGCAACAGCGTCATGTCTAAAAAAAGGTACACACCTTAATTAAAAAATAATTTATTGTTAAAAAATGCTAACCATCACTGAACCTTCTGCGAATTGTAATCGTTTTGCTTGTGGAGGGTCTTGTAAAAAACATAATATCTGTGATACACAATAAAACGAGGTATGTCTGTATTAATTTTGGTGAATTACATATATTTTTAAATATGCAAACCACCTTTCATTCCTGGTATAAATTCCACTTGATTGTGAGTTATTCTCATTTTTATATATTATTGGATTCAATATCCTAGAATTTTGTTTATAATATTTGAATATATGTTCATTAGGGATATTGATATGTACCTTTTTTTCTTATAATGTTTTTATGTTTGGCATCAGGGTAATGCTGGCTTTATAGAAAGATATGGCAACTGTTCCTTCCTCTTCAGTTTTCTGAGTTTGTGTAGATTTAGTATTACTTCTTCCTGAAATATTTGGTAGAATTTACCAGTAAAGCCATCTGGGCAGGGAGTTTTGTCTATTCAAAGTTTGTAAGCCACAATATCTTTATAGATACAGAGCTGCTGAGGTTATGTACATCTTCTTCAGTGAGGTTTGGTTGTGTCTTTCAAGGAATTTGTCCATGTCATCTACTTTGTCAAATTCATTGACATGGAGTTGTTTGTATTATTCCTTTTTTATCTTTCTTGTATTTGTAGCATCTGTGGTGACATTACCTCTCATTCCTGATATTATTCATTTTGGGTTTTCCTCTTTTTTCCTGAGGTTTATCAATATTATTGATCTTTTCAACAAACCAACTGTTAGTTTTATAGATTTTCTATGCTGTTTTCTGCTTTTATTTTAGTGATTTCTGCTATGATCTTTATTATTTCCTTTTTTTTTTTTTACTTACTTTGGGTTAAATTTGTTCTTTTTTTTCTTATTTCCTAAGGTGGAATCTGCGGTCATTGATTGAGACCTTTCTGTTCTTTGAGTATAGGTGATTAATGTTATAACTTCTCCTTTGAATACAGCTGTAGCAGAATCCTACAAATTCTGATTTTGCATTTTACTTTCATTCAACTTAAAATATTTTCTACTTTCTGTTTTATTTCATAGAATTACCTATTACCAGGTATTTTTCAATTACATATCCTTTCAGGTTAATAATTTTAAACATAGTATTTTCTCCAAATGACATGCTGGTACCCACTTCCATCTAAAGTTCTCTTCCTGTGAATTCATGAACTTCATTTGTATCCATCTGAAATAACCTCTTGCACCTAGAGCCACCCATTTGTAATGCTCTTCCTGTGAAGTCAGAGATGGCTACTGCAGAGAGGTCTTTCATTCTTCCCTAGTGTGACTGATCTGACACTCAAGTGTTTTACTTTGTGATGAGAGATGCTGCTTGGCACAGCCACTGACTTTATGCAATTTGATACATCTATTACCCTCCAGTTTCAAGACTGCTTGACCTGGTGGCAACTTGGGAATGACAAAATATTGAAAGAAATTTTTTTTCTGAAAACTTAAATGTCTTCCAAGGTACAAGACATGATTTACCAAATTTCATACTTAGTATTTTTTAAATCTACAGCTTATTGATGGTAAACAGGTGCATATTATACATTCCTTTTCCATTTCTTATCAAATTGCTGTCTTTTTTTTTTTCTGGCTGTCACCTTTATTAATGATTAAAAGGTCTGCACAAATTCATTCAGAGGGAGAATACATTTTCTAATTAACCACTGATCCGACTTGTGATATTGAATCAATGATCTTAAAAAAAAAACCTAAAGAACTATGATTTTAATTATATTATGGTATACTGAACAGGATGTATCCATGTGGGACATTTTGAGAGTGTAGATTATAATCGCCTCTATAGTTCCATATTTATCAATTTATCAGTGACCCAAATAGTTCCAAAAAATTTCAGCAATTTGAAGAGCAGCCATGGACCATTCTTCCAACAAATCTACTGAGTTCCTGCTAAATGTTGAGCACCACGATGGATATAAACAGTCAGAGACCTCCACCTTCAATAACTCACAATCTAGTGGGACTACAGGGAACTAAACACCTAATCACCACGCCAGAGTAATGCTTTATTGAGATCTGCCTCTGGGAGGAAACATATCAAATGGACTGTGTCGAATAGAAGCATATCGGGACTGTTTAAATCTTGAATAGCTTTTTAATACATTACATGTGTATGTCTTCTTATTTAGATAATGAGATATTAAATGTACAGATACTGTTTATACTCCTCTCTACCCATTGAATGACTAATTATGAATTATATCTATCTCAATTTTTTTCATTCTTTAATAGGTAGAGCTAATGATGCTCTCTAAGCTACAGAACAACAGATCTTTTTAACATGAACGAGTAGAAAGAGAGTGTGAGGAAAGAATATGATATGAAAAAATAATGATCTTCCTTCAAGATTGAAAATTTGATCACTTATGTTTAAACAAAAAAAATCTGAATATATGAAAAAAATGAATACATTGAAATAGTTCAATGTATTTCATGCTTTATTATTACTGAAGGGTTCAGTCATTACATTAATGGTTCAAAGCTTTAGGAAAAATGCTTCTATGCTATTCACATAAATTCTAAACATATAATAATATTTGCATAGAAATGCTAATTCAACCTTCTTCCAAGACATAACCATCATTTAAAATTGCTAACCTATCTCACTAAATATGTCTCTATAAGGTCAATGAATAAAAGATTTAGGTCAAGAATATGTGGAACTTGATCTCTGTAGCTGTAAGACAACCTTTCTTGATAAATGCATTTTTAGGTTTGGGAGATAGACCAGGAAAAGAAGGGAGCTGTTTATTGAGGTGAAGGAGATTCCTACACACGAGAATAACTAATTCTATGGCATACCTGGGTTATCCAGGAGTGAATATGACCTCAATATGTTAACAATGTCTATTCATAAGCTGCCCCCCTGTTTTATCCCACTTGCCAATCAGCTTTCTTCCTAAACTAATCAAAGGGCAGGCCTGAGAAAATGGCCAGATTAAAAAAGTCATAAAATGAGATCAGATGTCATAACATATTGTGGTGAAAGTCTGGTTGGAAAGTGACTAAAACATAATATTTTGGACATCCTATTAAGCTTCAAGTCCCTATGACTGTCTTTTAAATTGATGTATGTTTTTCTTTGCCATCATACTGGGATTTGCATACACATCACCGGGACAGTTAAGCTTCTCTTTGTGTTTATGCCGATACTAGGACCTTACAATAGCTGCAATTGCCAAATGAAATTTAGTTGTTATATTGCAATCATCATTATTTCAAATTTCTTGCTATGATATTATAATATTTATTTTGCTAATCTAGAACTTGAGGCACAGCATGATTAAATCATTTGCTCAAGATATGCTATGAGTAAATAGTTAAACTGGGAAAGCTAATAATCCCTTAGTAATAAAAATCTAAAAACAATCTACTTATAAAATAAGTAGCTACTTTTTTCTCAACAAATTGTTATATTTTTCTAGTACTTGTCTTTTTTCTTTAATTTTTTGTTTATTGCAGTAACATTGGTTTATAACATTGTAAAAATTTCAGTTGTACATCATAGTACTTCTATTTCTGCATAGATTACATCATGTTCACCACCAAAATACTAATTACAAGCCATCACCACACACATGTACTGAATTATCCCTTTC